ATGATTAAAAATTTTCTTCTTTTTTTAAGCTATGAACACTTTCATAAAACCTATTATTATGAAGAAATGATCCTAAAATGATTCTGTAGATTGTCAAAAATTTTCTGTGCAGATTTTTCAGTGTTTGCACGGTGGTGCAACTGGTAGAGCTGCTCCTCTCAGCGAGCAGGTCTCTGGTTCAAATCCCGGTCCGGGGGGCCTTTCTGGGTATAGTTTGCATGTTCTCCCCGTGCATGCGTGGGTTTTTTCCGGGTACTCCAGTTTCCTCCCACAGACCAAAAACATGCACTTTAGGCTGACTGATAACTCTAAATTGTCCCTAGGTGTGAGTGAGAGAGTGAATGGTTGTTTGTCTCGTTTGTCTCTATGTGGCCCTGTGATGGGCTGGAGACCTGTCCAGGGTGTACCCCGCCCCTCACACAGTGATTGCTGGACATGGGCACCGGCGACCCCTGTGACCCAAAATGGGAGAAGCAGGTAAAAGATAATGGATGGATTTTTCAGTGTTAAAAATATTTTGGCCATTTTGAATTCAGTTTAATTCCATGTTCAGTTTAACTGAGACCATATAAAAATCAATCAATCAATCAACCTTTATTTATACAGGTAAATCCCATTGAGCCTCGAAGACTCATTTACAAGAGAGACCTGATTTCAACAAAGACAGATGACAACAATGGACAACAGCAACAACAATAAACAGTTATAAAAAAGCATACTACAGTTTTTTTGTTTTGTTTAACAAATAGGATGGCTAAAAGGAAAAGGTAACAAAAAAAAGCTAGATTCCAAGACAAATGTAGAAAACTAAAAACAGGAACATGTCAGCATTGGTCCCTGCCAGGTGTCCAACAGATTCTTAAAGACACTTAGAGAGGTCAAGGTCGAGAGCTTCAAATCTTTTTGTAAGATATTCCAGGAAACAGGAGCGGAATAGGAGAAGGCCCTTTTGCCTAGTTCAGTCCTCATTGAGGGAACACTGCAGGTAATAATGTCCTGAGAGCGCACTCCGTAGCTGCACTCACGCAGAGACAAGTAGGAGGAGATGTATGAAGGCAACAGACCAAGAAGTGATTTAAAGATGAAAATATACCAGTGAGAGAGTCTGCGTGAAGTTAATGATGTCCAGTTAACCAGTGAATACAGGGTGCAGTGGTGGGTACGATAATCACAGCCAGTTATAAATCTTAGTGCACCATGATAGACGGCATCCAACATGTGCAGGGTTCTTGTAGGAGCGTTCATGTAAATAATATCACCATAATCAATTGAGGGAAGGAAAGTCACAGATACAAGGCGTTTTCTAGCATTCAGGGTTAGACAGGATTTGTTTCTGAAAAAGAAACCCAGTTTAACTTTCAGTTTCTTTATCAAGTTTTCCACATGGAGCTTAAAAGCTTAAAATCTATCTACAACAGTTTAGATATTCATTGTTCCTATTGTCTATATTGTTAGTCTATGGTATTACAAGTAAAATTACATCTGGGTTAGCTCCTGGCTGTCAGACAATACAATTATAAAATTTCCAATATGTGAACACAATAAACACACTCTAAACCAGTCCTTCTCAAATAGTGGGGCGCGCCCCCCTGAGGGGGCCCGGAGCAATGCCGGGGGGGGTGCATGTGATCCCGAGGAATATTTTGCAGCAGGGAGTAGGTTTTTTTTTTTTTTTCTTTTTTTTTCTTTTTTTTTGCACCATTCTCATTGTGTCAGGGTGCGTTCGACAACTGTTTGCTAAAATCCGGCAACTCTCAGTCTTAATAATAATAAAGTTATGAACAAATATGTCTGTCTTGTCGTTTGCGGAGCCTTGATTGAACCGTGTCGCTTCCCTCTGCTGCTGAGCAGCTGGTGACACTCTGCCCCTCTTCCTCTTTCATGTTGACATTTTTTTTAGTTTTATTGATTGTCAAAGTACAATTTTGATGTTTTTTTTTTATTTGTTGAAAAAACGTATGTTTAACAAATGTTAGGACTCTATTCTTTGCTAACAAACTATATTTTATATAATTAAACAACTTGTCAGGTTCTTCTCTTGTGAGCGTGTTCCCCTGGACCCAAACACACACACACACACAAAGCCCGCTCGCTCGCTCTTGCGCTCTTTGCGACTTCTCTGCTGCTCTGAAGACCAAGTCCAGGTCCAGCTAAACATTGAGCAGGAGCTGAGAGCTGCAGGATCATGTTTCAAACTCGGCTTCAAAAAGCTGTGCACTGCAAAACATGCTCATTGTAGCCATTAATCCTGACTTCCTCGTTTTGATAAAAACAAACAAACAAAACCCAGCACAAATTATTTAATTCATTTTTGTTTTGTAGGTTAAAGTGTTTTATATAACACTCCTGACTTAAAATGTTGCTGATCAATTTGAAAATTTTATTATTTATTGTTTGTATTTAATTTGATTGTTCAGTATCAAATGGTCAAAAATGTTTACAGTTTAAATAAGGATTTTTTTTTTATTTCAGGCAAATTGAAGCACTTTAAGTCTTTTCTGTTACAGACCATAAAACAATGTTAATAATCTTTGTTGTAAGTTGATCTATATTTCTATTTTTTATTTTATTTTAATGTTAATTAGGATACAATGTTATGTAGAGGTGTACTTATAACAATTTTATAGACAAATGATACTATTTACAGTCGTGGTGGAGAATTGGGGGGGCGCGAAATGTTTACTTCTTCCTGGGGGGGGGGGGGGGTAACAGAAAATAATTGAGAAGCACTGCTCTAAACTAAGTAAAGTCAGTTTTTTATGCAGTTGTTTGATTTAAGTTGATTAAAGGAACATTTATCAGTTGAACCTACAGTAATTGAAAGCCCAACCCAACTTGACGTTGTTTTGATCAGTAGATGTTAGGGCCTGCACCTTCTAAAGTGTGGTTAAATTGAATGATAACAGGGTACTCGACAAAACCTGGCTGCAATCTATGGGAGCCGGGCTGGTGCGGCTCGGTGTAGGCGACCAAAAGTCAACAAAGAGGAGGAGGTAGGACCCCCCAACCCTGAATACCCACCTTCACAATCCATCTGTCTCACAGCACGTAAAGCTTGTCTGCACAGAACCTCTTTCCCTTTGACACATCCATCATTCAATCCAGCAGCTCATTTACGTTGAGTCCTTGTGCAGTGTTCAGTATGAGTTGTTTATTTGAACCCAACATTGGCTGCATTTGAAATAAACACTCCAATTTGACTTATATTTATTTATTTTTGCTTTGAATGTATTACATGAATGCATTGTTGTTTTGTAAAAGTGGCAAATGTACTAATCTTAGAAGTGAAAAGAATGCTGAGCATGTTTGTGTGTTTTTAATGTGTGTAAATATGCTGTATCTTAAAGTGTTTTCTTCTCATTCATACATTGTATGTGTGCTTGTTCTTAGGAGTACTTGGCAAGACTCCGGCAGATTCGTTTGCAGAACTTCAATGAGCGTCAGCAGATCAAAGCCCGACTGAGAGGAGAGAAGGTACATTTCCCCACCTTTAGGGACTTGATGTGTCTAATAAATGACGTGCGTTATCTTACTCCTGGTTCTTGTTATTTTGTTGTTGTGTATTTCAGTATGACAGCGATGGCTCAGATAGTCAGGAGTCAACTGAGGAGGCAGAGCTCAGAAGAAGGAAGATAGAGGCTTTAAAGGTGAGTCCTCAAAAAGCACAAAGCAATCACAAATTGCCTCATGCAACTTTTTATTTTATATTCAGTGTTTCCCCTAGATAACTTGCCATGGTGGGGCACTCATCTTGTTCGTGGTTTTTGTCGAGGGCGGTGGGGGGGAGACACGTCCTGAGCTGCGCAGCACGCTGTTTATACTGACAGTAGCTATGTTTACATGGAATTAAGTAATTGGATTAAATAGCCATTCAGAATAAAAATGTGTCATGTAAACACCCCATTTGAATTATTCTTTGTTGATTCAACTTGATCCGAAAGAATTTGTAATCAGAATGAGACGGTTGGTTTATGCCAATTCATAATCTGAACGGTGTGCATGTAAACACTTAATCTGTTCATTTTATTCTGACTGTGGAAAACTGACCTGACTGTGCATGTGCGACCTGTCTACCTCACGTTCAGGATCTCGTGCTTATTTGACACAGGAACGGAGTTAGCGAGAAGTTGTGATAGGAGGTCAGATGATTGGGGGCTGCCTGAGAGATTTGATGGTTTTCCAGAATCTGTTAGGGTCATTTAGATTTTTGGAGGTCTGAGATAAGAAATAGTTGCGTTTTGTTGCTTTGATGGCAGTTGTGCATTTATTCCTCATCTGTCGAAAACTCGACCAATCAGTGTCTGAGACAGATTTTCTCGCTGCAGCCCAAAGATGATCTCTCCTGTGCAGGAGGTCAGCTAGCTCAGGAGTAAATGGGCTGTCTCGTCCCTTTATTCTGAACTGACAAAAAGGAGCATGTTTGTTCACAAAATAAAAACTATTATGAACATAGTTCCAAGCGGAGTTCACGTCGTCAGTTAATATAATGCGATGCCAGTCAAAGTGGGATAGATCCCAGAGGAATGACTGTTCACAAAAATGTTTCAGATCCCTTTTTTGAATTAATCTGGGCTTAGAAGGTGGAAGCTTAATATCTCTAAGAGTCGCTGTTACACAATGATCACTCAAAATGTTAGCGAATACACATGTACCAGGGAATTTGTGAGGCATATTAGTTAGAAACGGGTCTAAGATGGAAGATTTTTCAGGATGGTTTTTGTTTGGTCTAGTGGGAGAGTCGATCAGTTGGGTTAGACTGAGTGACAGGCAACATTCCTTAAATTTATCTCGTGCTTATTTGACACAGGAACTGAGTTAACGAGAAGTTGTGATAGGAGGTCAGATGATTGGGTGCTGCCTGAGAGAGATTTGATGGTTTTCCAGAATCTGTTAGGGTCATTTAGATTTTTGGAGGTCTGAGATAAGAAATAGTTGTGTTTTGTTGCTTTGATGGCAGTTGTGCATTTATTTCTCATCTGACGAAAACTCGACCAATCAGTGTCCGAGACAGATTTTCTCGCTGTGGCCCAAAGATGATCTCTCCTGTGCAGGAGGTCAGCTAGCTCAGGAGTAAATGGGCTGTCTCGTCCCTTTATTCTGAACTGACAAAAAGGAGCATGTTTGTTCACAAAATAAATGAAACTATTATGAACATAGTTCCAAGCGGAGTTCACGTCGTCAGTTAATATAATACGATGCCAGTCAAAGTGGGATAGATCCCAGAGGAATGACTGTTCACAAAAACGTTTCAGATCCCTTTTTTGAATTAATCTGGGCTTAGAAGGTGGAAGCTTAATATCTCTAAGATTCACTGTTACACAATGATCACTCAAAATGTTAGTGAATACACCTGTACCAGAGAATTTGTGAGGCATATTAGTTAGAAACGGGTCTAAGATGGAAGATTTTTCAGGATGGTTTTTGTTTGGTTTAGTGGGAGAGTCGATCAGTTGGGTTAGATTGAGTGACAGGCAACATTCCTTGAATTTATCACAGAGGGGCGTCGACATATCCCAGTCTATGTTGATATCTCCATCCATCCATCCATTTTCTTCCGTTTATCCGGGGACGGGTCGCGGGGTTAGAAGTCTAAGTAGGGAGGCCCAGACTTCCCTCTCCCCAGCCACTTGGGCCAGCTCTTCTGGGGGAATCCCGAGGCGTTCCCAGGCCAGCCGAGAAACATAGTCCCTCCAGCGTGTCCTGGGTCTTCCTCTGGGCCTCCTCCCGGTGGGACGTGTCCGGAACACCTCACCAGGGAGGCGTCCAGGAGGCATCCTAAACAGATGCCCAAGCCACCTCAACTGGCTCCTCTCGACGTGGAGAAGCAGCGGCTCTACTCTGAGTCCCTCCCGGATGATCGAGCTTCTCACCCTATCTCTAAGGGAGAGCCCAGACACCCTGCGGAGAAAACTCATTCCGAGATCTCATTCTTTCAGTCACAACCCTAAGCTCGTGACCATAGATGAGGGTAGGAACGTAGATCGATAGGTAAATTGAGAGCTTCGCCTTTTGACTCAGCTCTCTCTTCACCACGACAGACCTGTACAGTGCCTACTTCACTGCAGACGCTGCACCTATCCGCCTATCGATCTCACGCTCCATTTTTCCCTCATTCGTGAACAAGACCCCAAGATACTTGAACTCCTCCACTTGGGGTAGGACCTCCTCCCTGACCCGGAGAGGGCACTCTACCCTTTTCTGGCTCAAGACCGTGGCCTCGGATTTGGAGGAACTGATCTTCATCCCGGCCGCGTCGCATTCGGCTTCGAACCGCTCCAGCGAAAGCTGTAGATCACGATCTGATGAAGCCAATAGGACCACATCATCTGCAAAAAGCAGAGCCGCAATCCTAAGGCCACCAAAATGGATCCCCTCAACACCTTGGCTGCGCATAGAAATTCTGTCCATAAAAGTTATGAACAGAATCGGTGACAAAGGGCAACCTTGGCGGAGTCCAATTCTCCCCGGGAACAAGCCCGACTTACTGCCGGCGATGCGGACCAGGCTCTGACACCGGTAATACAGGGACCCAACAGCCCGTATCAAAGGGCCCGGTACCCCATACTCCCAGAGTACCCCCCACATGGTTCTCCAAGGGATGCGGTCAAACGCCTTTTCCATGTCCACAAAGCACATGTAGACCGGTTGGGCAAACTCCCACGCACCCTCCAGGACCCTGCTGAGAGTGTAGAGCTGGTCCAGTGTTCCATGGCCAGGACGAAAACCGCACTGCTCCTCCTGAATCTGAGGTTCGACTATCCAACGGACCCTCCTCTATAGAACACCCAAATAGACCTTACCAGGGAGGCTTAAGAGCGTGATTCCTCTGTAGTTGGAAAACACTCTACGGTCCCCCTTTTTGAATAGAGGGACCACCACCCCGGTCTGCCAATCCAGGGGAACTTCCCCCAATGTCCACGCAATATTGCAGAATCGCATAAGCCAACAACCCTACAACATCCAGAGCCTTAAGGAACTCCGGGTGAATCTCATCCACCCCCGGGGCCCTGCCACCGAGGAGCTTTTTAACCACCTTGGTGATCTCAGCACCAGAGATTGGAGGGCCC